GACTGCCAAGTTCTAGACAGGCTTGTGCTCCGTGGTAGATGTCGTCTGAAGAGATGAGTCACTGTTGACGGCCAGCCTTCTGAGAATCCACGAGATCTTGCTGTTCATCGTCCTACCTGGGTGCCGCGTGCCACCTTCACGACTAGGTTAGGTTGTGATCTCGACTGGTCGGGATCTAGCTGAATCGGCCTGAGTGATGATGATGCAGAGCGCACGATCTGCGCTGTAGTGTTGCTCTGTTCCCGGACCATACGAAGCACCTAAGACCACGATCGATGCAACTATCCAATGATTAGTTGCATGGCACTTACCTTCCTCAAACTAGATCCTGTACCTTCAACATTCAATGCAACATGATTGGCTATGTTACCGAGAATATCCTTATCTCGCTCTAGGTAGAGCGTACTTCAATATTCAACACTATCCTATCTACTACCCGTGAAAAAGTCCAAGTCGCCCCGCTGTGATTTCTTATTGATAACTTCAATTACGCCAATAACCCTCCTCCGTGTATCGAATATCGGGATCTTGAAAGTCCGTATGGACAGTGATGAACAATAGACAGTAATCTTACACACATGACAGATCGGACCGGCTTGCCAGTGCCTCTGTAGTTCTCATGACGTTGAGGATCGTACAAATCACCGGCTTCTCTCACATCATCAGCAATGAATGGCTTCCCTGTTCGAGCAACATAACCCATGATGCCCGTGTCAATAGGCGTCGTCTCGCTGATATCAATCCCTTCACAGTACTTAGTGTAAAGTACTGGTGGCTCATCAGGGGAGGAGGAGTCGTCCATGAGCATCAACATGGCCGCCTCTAAGAAGACAGAGCTAATCATGATGAAGCCAGCATTCGCCGCTCACCAGCTTTCATGATCCTCTTCACTTCTTGCATCACATCAGCGAAGAGCCTTTCCTCCCTTTGTTGTTGCGAAAGGAGAACTCGAGAAGACTTGACAAGCATGTTGGAGGAACAGGCATGCAAAACCTAAGGCTTAAATGATATTGCCTCTGGGTGTCTATACTCCTACAGCTCTGAAGCCTTGAGGAGCATCCTCGCCGCGTAAATAAGTAGCATATGCGAGACATTGCAGCTAGCAGATCTTCATCCTTCTCACTGAATGTT